GGAGTTCTGCGAATATCTTCTAAATGGGTAGAGTAATCGATTAAATAAGACCTTTTTTGTAGAGCGTTCAATTCGCTATGGAAATAATTGAAGCTCATTTGACAATAATTATTTTTTAGTTAGTTACAAAATTCAAAAGAAAAGGTTATTCTCCTTAAAATACTTCAATCTTTGACCTTGAATATCTTTTAAATGGTTAGATTAATGAAAAGAGTATAGCAGACCATTTTTGTATAGCGTTCAATTTGCTATAAATATTGACGATGCAACTGGTTTAACGATCTATTGGTGATAAGATATGATTATTTTTATATGAGACTAAATTGAAAATGGAAAACTATGATGAGCATAATCTTCCCGTTAATATTAAGAGCTCAGATTTGGTAAGTACTTTCTAGAGGTACCTAGGAACTAGTTTTCGTGTGTCGGATCCAAAAAAAAATAATACTTGATTTTTTTTTACCCACCCTAATGTACACGTAAATTGAAAACGTTTAGTTTGGTTTTACACCAAAATTGCTACAAAATTACTATTAAAATAAATGTATTTACGCGTTTGAAACAGTGTTGCCAGAGCAAATTTAGAGCTAAAACGGTCGAAAAAAAGAGCTAAAAAGAGCTAAATAATACTAATAGTAGCTAAAATGAAGAGCTACAATTTTTTTTTGAAGCTTGAGCATTTATTGACGTAAGGTTTTTTTACGTGTTCGGCAAGTCTAATAAAAACAACGAATTTTATAAGTTTAAGTGCTGTAAAAATCTTTTAAAACCAAAATAAGGTGCATATATTTCCAATTCGTTGCTATGGCAATATTTGAATTTAATCATTTTCGCATAATTTTTCTGGAGAGTTTTACTTCCAGCTCTCCTTAAAGGTAAAATTAGTAAGGTAAAACAAAATCCGCGCTATCAGAAAAAGGATTTTCTTCTAACTAATTTTTGAATTCTTTAACCTAGATCCAAGAGTTTATGGTGGATACACTGCTTCGCGAAATTTTCCATTTTATCAACGCTTTAGTTTCGGTTTATATACACCAAAATATCTAAAACTTGTTGGAGCTAAAAAAAATGCTAGATAAATTTGAAAAGAGCTCAAAAAAGAGCTAAGAGCTAAAACTCAATTTTCGGAGCTAAATGGAAAAATAAAGAGCTAAATCTAGCTCGAAAAGCACCAAAATGGCAACACTGGTTTGAAATTGTGATTGTTTTTGATTAATTTTCTGTCTTTATTTGAAAGTTTGTTTTTCGATTGCCTGATGGATTACATTTACACAACAAATTATATTAAGGGATTTTATGAAAAAAAATGAAATGGCATCATGATTCTCTCACGGCTCACTTTGCACTTAGAAATTTAACTTGGAAATCAAAAGTATATTGTTCTCCAAGTTTCTAAGTGAAGTTGGTTTTTTGGGTAACTACATACAGGCGCTGCTCATTTGTCAGATATACAATTTTCAAGTCAAGTCAAGTCTAAGTCTTGCATAACTGAGCTTTTACTGACATCAACAAAAAAATGCCAAAAATCAACAGCAAGTCCCAGTTACTGTAAACTTGAGAGCATCGTTCCATAAGTAACGTGCCCGTTTTTTCGGACAGGCTTAGGTGCGTGCCAAAATTATTTTTATGAATATTCCAATAGTATAGTATTCTGCTTTACTGCTTTTAAACATATGTTTTCGAAGAGCGTTCTTGCTATCGCATTTAGTATAACGAAAGATCGACATGCTGCAACCCTTGCAGAAACCTGTGCAGCATTACCATGAATACAGGAAAACAAAGTGACAAGGAATTAAAAAAACATTCATCAAGTGCTTATTTATGGTATGTTTGATTTTACATATATTGTGAAGGAAACGATGAATTTTATTGCATTTGCATTTATAGCAGCAGAGTAAGAACGCGCTATGGAAGTGAATTCACAAAGATATGCGGAGCTGTCGGGCATAGTAACCATAGACGCATCTATGTCAACTTCTGGTTGAATTGTTCAACCACAACCTCCTATGCCTGAAAACTGGTTCTCAATCCAGTTAATACAATAACAGTTTCTTCCAAACCATTGAAAACATGCACTTTGTTGGGTCCACCACCACCTATTGCGCTTGCTTCCGCCTTCGACCGCACTTAGGGATTATAGCACTTACTTAGTATAATTAACCTTTTTTTGTGTTGCCGGAGAAGAGGCGCTTCCGCATATCAAAGGCATACAACATTTCTTGTGCATATAACTCCGGTTACGCCATCCGCAGTATTTTCGCACAGAACCCACATCGAAATTTACAAAAAAGTGCATAGTACAAACCGAATTTATTAATAAACTATTGCTCGGAGATTTCAACCATTTATTTTAAATTAAAGTTTAATGCTTTGGTTACACGTACATGTTATCGTTTTTAGATTCGGATTATGCGTTTGGACACAACAACCGAAAATCATTGTACAAATAACGAAACCGGACACAAGTTTCTCGATGAGGGGCAACAAACATTCTTTTTTGTTCGTTCATATGTATAAATCAGTGGAAAAAAATATACGCCCATATATACGAAAGGCAAATTTGTCTGTTTAAAGGAACACCACTAATATTTCCTCCAAACACACGCCGATTTACATATTTTATCTTAGGATTGTTTTCGTACAAAATTACGCAGAAAAGCTGTCAATTTCTTACTCGTTCGTTTTTAGGCATGCCATTGTTACGAATTTCGAAAGTTCGAAAATACGATTCGGATTGCAGCATACTATTTCTACGATTCGTAGCAAAATCCGAATACGAAAGAGTTGCAGAATAGGGGTGCATGTTTATCTTCATCTAAGGCAGGGATCACAAGATTTGTACATTTACAGAGTGGTGCTGTTTGAAAGTTGTTATTGAGCAAAACTCATTATTTCTGTGACTGCCAAAATGTACAAATCTGTACAAATACACAAATCGTGCGATCCCTGCTTAACAGCTTCTTTACAGCATATTCACTACTGATAGTGATAGCAGAGCGTAATTTGCCGGCCCAACTATGTAGGATAGTTTTAGGCAGTGGTATGATAGATTCTATTGAGAATTCCTTGGTAAGATAAAATATCGGAAATTAGTTTGAATAAATCTGCTGTGAACCTTGGGATATTTCTATACGAATTTCTGTAGAGCACCTACCGGGTGTGTGGTTTGAACTTGATCTGAATGCGTAAATTAAATAACACCGCTTTGTTTCTGATTATGCTCCTAATTCGTGGCACATTGGGCGCGTTCATATTGTCTAACCGTAGACTGTTTGTCCTAGAAACTCACAGTTGAGTAGTTCCGCTCAGTTTAACAGTTGCCGCCATTTTGTCCTTCGTACAATTTTTTCGCTACCTTAGCTCAACGTGTTTTGCTCAGCCTAAGCATATGTTCGAAAAGATTTACGCCGCTTATATTAAATGTGCTACGCTCATAAATTGTGAGTCAACCCTTAATAAAAATGTAATGTCCTGGTTATGTAAAATAAAACTAAAAATTTCAAAATAAAATAATGTAAAAAAAAATATTTTTTAAAAACAAGCGTATTAAAAGATTTTTTAGCAAGAAAATTTTATCATAACTGCACTAAAATGAATAAAATAAAACAAGTTAAAATCTTGTTAACAGTTACATATATAGGCGTGTGCATCCTCATATGTACACGATACTGTAGATTTGTAAGCGCATTCCATATACATACATATGTATGTGTGTACTACTGTCTGTCTGGTAACCGCTTATGTAGCAAACATTAAAATTAAAGACCCAAAATTAAGAAAAAAACAAACGCCAGACATCCAAAACCAGTTTTTTTAAGTTGAGAATAACTAAAAAGAAAACCAAATTTAACAACTGACAACAATAACTTTACTTTTGCTATGTACTCTCTTTGATCTTGCTTAGCGATCAGCTGAGTAAATGTAAAACTTGTGCTTCTGTTTCTATATATACCAGTAACACGAAAACTAGCGATCGTGATTTATGTCTTTTTTTATCACTAATATGTGAGAATTGAATGCTAAAAAAACAGCCGCCTTGTAGGAAAATAGAAATAGAGAACAAAAGTTATGTAAAATAAAGTACAAACATTAAATAAATACATTGAAATAAGAATATTAGAGCATAGTTCCAAGTTTAGTATTTAAGCCTAATAATTTAAATTGTTTTTTTTCTAAAATTTGAGACCACTATGAAGTTTATTCAATAAATTATGAATTTTATAACGTAATAACATGACGTGCTAATTTTGTTTATGTTCCTGGACGACATGATGACATGAAGGTAGGAGTAATTGTTACAAGGGATCTTCGTCAAACTATCCTATCGAAAATCATGGGTACAGAATGCGGGCGTCGACTAACAACCTAGGCCTCGCCTGCTTCTAAGCAGTTCCGCATGATTGAGAACTCAACGCCTTTGTTTGTTTTTAACTTTTACGTTCATTTCCTAAACTTTTGTTTTTGTTTTTATTGAGTTCGTGGAGTTTGTCTCCCCATTAGATTCAGATAGGAATCTTTTAAACTAAAGTTTATGTGTTTCCGGTTGAAGCGTGGCAAAAAACCCACCCCATGCCGCAATAGCTGAGGCACGAGAGGATTCCCCCTGTCGTGGTCCTTCAACTGAGTACAGGTGAGGATGAGAGGTCGAGACGTGACTAACCTCTCCAAAGTATATCCCCGTTTTTAGCAGCACCCACACCTCGCCATAATCATTACATGTTACTGTTCTTGATTTCAGCTGATATGTTTGTTCCGGATATGGGCTGAATCGGTTCTCAATACGAGCGGAAATTATCATTTTACCAAACTATTTGAATTTGGCGACAATTACGTTGAATAATTCCGTTATTTACATTAGGGACGTCAGTGGCACAAATAAATCGATGTACTAAGCTAATAAAAGCGAGTAAAACTGTTTCTGGGTTATACTAAGTAGCAAGCCATTGTTCAAGTTATCTATGACTTTCGACCAAATCAATGGCAAATGTCCTTTTAATTACCTTTGCGTGCATTTGAATAAAAGGAAATTCGGCACATAGTTCACCTCCCAAAGCACCCAAGAATAGCTTAACCTTAACGGCATATGAAACAATGATTCCGAAAGCGTCGCGAGCATCCTGACTGGCAATACTGAAATGAAAATTGTATACATGAAACATCTGCGTATACTTTGGAGGTCATTGTCTGCAAACTTACAGTGTTGTAGATGCCAGTGAAGTTTCTTTGCGTTTGATGTCACCCTCGACGGCAATACCAGCTCGATCACAATTCGCACCCAAAGTTGGCACCAAATACATAACCTTTTACAAGCTCGAGCCTGGATTTAACGGGCAACCCTCACTAGTTTCTACAAATGCAATCGTGTTGCGGAATTGTCCATTTTGGAAGAGTACAACATCGACCCCTTGCTGCACCATAGTCTTGATCTGGTGGAATAATACAATAATAATAATTCCACCATGAAAAACAGTATCTAACTCGATGTTTTGTGTGAAAAACTCTTTTACAATGTCAGAAAATTGAGAAACAAGTAATATAAAAAGAAATTTCCAAAAACAAGCTTTTATTAATGGTTAATAAAAAAAAGAAGAAAAATCGGCCCGCACCCCCTAACGGCTAATTTGTTTAAGGAGTTATTTCTTCCCATTTAAGTAATATACATTCTAAATATGAAACAAATCGTACCATAACACTGTCGCTGAAATAAGCACTTTCTGCGGCCAAAAGATCAATTTTCAATTTTTACATTATAAATGTTTTTCAATTTGAACAGAAACTATTAATTTATTACCGCAAGGTAACCCTGGTAACCTAGGTGTCAACCCATGATTCAATAATACAAGGTTGTGTAATTTGTGACAGCTAAAATTTGACACTCCTTTATCTAGATTTGTATTTTGGAAGTAGGAGAAAGGGGAAGAATGTGATCGCATTTTGCGGAAACGGTAGTAGAATGGTAATACAAAAAGTACGCAAGGTATACAATTAGAAGTAAAATGTGTATTATTACTTCTATGCGAATTTGCAATATATTTGGTGTTTTAATGGAAATACTAAACAATACATAAAAATATCCATTTTTGATGCAGATCAATAGAACTTTTTATGCTCATTTCAACCATGCCAAAATGATTTAGCGCAAGTAAAAAATTAAGACGTTCTAGAAGGTTAAAGTTCAGTTTTTATATATTTTAAATATTAATACCTTATGAACACTATAACCGATTAAAAAACAAATGACGTCACCATAAAGATAATTAATTTGTTCTTCAGCTGATGTACATAATTTATAGCTTTTTGTATTTTTAAACCTAAACCACTAAAAAGCGAACAAATGTTATTTTTTCATGAATAACCTTTTTTGAAAAAACTGCATAATTAATGGTAAAGAAATTTATATTATTTAGAAAGTACAAGTTATTATCTTTAATTCGATATTACGTATTTTATCATGATCTACTTTTGGGTTTCAACAATTTGGTGATAATAAAAAATACAAATTAACCTCTTATATCTCAAATTCAAATCAAATCAAATCAGCGCAAAAAGTTCTATCAATCGGCATTTTTGGTTATTTTATAGCTAAACGGTCGCTTTTCTACACTTGTTCTAGAAAATTACGCAAACGAAGGTGACGCCAACGAATATTTAGTATGAACATGATACAAAAAAGAAGGTAGTTTCATTGTCACTTTTCGGGCGCCATATTAACTACCTGACAATTAAGCAGATTGTGACATTTCGTGCTGCCATACTTAGTCCTCAATAATCATTTATTTATTGTAAAAAAATATTTACAAAATGAAGAGGAAATTTGTCTTCGATATGCGCGATAACGCATAATAAGAGGTACTCCCGATTGAACTGGCACTCAGAGTCTGGAAGTAAGTAGTGCGTTAAGTGCAGCTTGGCCAATACAATACAATAACAATACATCTTCTTCGGACTATAAAAAAAAAGAGTTTTGTTATGTAAATTTATTTATTTTGTTTAAAATAAAATGAAAAACAGCTTTTTAATAAATAAATAATTCAAAACTAGATTTTATTTTATTTCTTCATCACTTCACATCGATATTACTCAAAGGATCTTTTAAACGCTGGAGAAAAGCGTTCAAATTTGATTATTGAACACATCAACTTACTATTGTTTGTATGTAAATTTTACTCCTTAATATTTAAAAGAAAATCTCCCCTATCGAAAAATTTCAATGTGGCAAAGCTATGCTTTATGTTTACATCTGGAGAAATGTCAAAATTCTGCTTTATAATCAAAAAATAGTAGTAATGAAACTACCTTCTTTTTTGTATCATGAGTATGAGAAGAATTTTTGGTTTTACTACTAATATCACTAGAAACTATAGAGTAAGCAACATTTTGCACAAGTAAAGGTGCCGATTTTATGTGTGGGAGCGAGAAGACTGCTTTATTACAAAACCTTTCTGTTATTGAATCTGGTCTCAACCCATGGTGGAATTATACAAGGTGTTGTACGTAGTGACAGCTCATGTCGACAGCTCCCTTACAAAAGGTTGTAATATGGAAGCACGAGAGAAACGGGAAGAAAAAAAGCCCGCTTTGCGAAGTAGTACGAAATTTGGTACTATTTTTCATATAAAATTTTGCATATAAATAGTTATAAACGGTATATTATGATAAGCTAAATTCGCGAAAGTAGTATATATAATGTAGTACTTATGCAATAAATGGTAATTTAGTTTATTAAACACAATGTCCTATAATTATAGTCAAACTTCCAAAACCAAAAAAATTAGTGGTGACCCCGAGTCGTTACAACATGACGGAATCGACAAAAGGGCGCATCGACGGATGGGGAGAATATTTCATCGAACAAAATGCCAACTAAAGATGTGGAGCTTGCATCGCAATGCAAGCTGCGACCGTTCTGAACTGAGATGCCAGACAAATGGTTTCTACAAATTGAGGCCACCTTTCAGTCGTACAAGACCACATCTTATGTCGGTAAATATAATCTGGTCCTCTCAGCAATTAGCAGCGATGCTTTAAAGGAAGCTGCGGATGTTTTAAAAACCTTACCAACTCAAGACCGATATATTAACCTCAAAAGTCAACTACTGTCACGTTTTACTGATTCAGCCGACCACATAGGGTATTTGGCTGATTTAGGCATATTTTTATCGCTACAAACATCAAATATAGTTTTAGTTATCGAATAAAACATTCACTATAACTACCCTGTTACTAATAGAAAATTCAATCGTAGTGAAATCTTATTTATTGTTAATATTATTGTGGCTTATTAACATTTGTTTCCATATTGCTATTGAGCTTTGTAGCACTATTATGTTTTTAGGGAAAAGGGAAAAAGCAACAAAGTCTTAGCGGTAGAAGTTACCAAAAAAACAGTTATATCGTTGGTAAAGCAGGGCCAGTGGCAGTGAACCACAGACGGGATTGCAGCAGCAAAATTCACTGGGGAATAGATGCATAGTTAAATACGTAGTTCTTGTTTAAATCTTCCATCTAAACTTACCAAGAAAACAGTTATATCGTTGAAAAAGCAAGGCCAGTGGTAGTGAACCACGGAATTGCAGCGGAAGGAAGCACCGACCAAAATAACTACAAATCCTTGGGGAGAACTCTAAACCGATGTTTTTTTGCCGAATTAATGTTGAAATTTCTAATTTAATTTTCAGTTGCCAACGATAAGAATAGAGTAAATGTCAAAGAATTGTTCAGTGATTGCAAATCAGTTTTGGAATAGGGAATGAGGTAATTTAGTACTTTTTTAAAGGCGATAAAATGTAGTTTTTTCAAGATATAGCTAAGGGAGCCAAGATGGCGGATTAGAGCGAGAACGCTGTCAATATCCAACACCTTGTATTATTCCACCATGGTGTCAACCTAAATTTTGCGCTTTTGGTTTTAGTTTGTGCTAGAATTTTATTAAAATGAGCTGCAGTGCAACGCGAATGTGTTTCACCTATCACCTAATACTAATGGTATGTACCATGGGCAGTAATAATTGTGATTTGAAATTCACATTTGTGTTTTTGAAAAACTGACTATTTCAAAGTGCATGCTATGTTAATACATAAAAATCCCGTGTCACTGCGTTCGTTTACGCTAATCTCCGAAACCGCTTAACCGATTTCAATGAAATTTTGTGGGTGTGTATTGTTGGTTCCAACTTAAACTATAGGATAGTTTTGATTTTTTTTTTTAAATCGAAATTAATATATAAAAATCCCGTGGCACTGTGTTTGTTTACGCTAATCTCCGAAACCGCTTAACCGATTTCAATGAAATTTTGTGGGTGTGTATTTAGGGTTACCAGATTTTTTTCTCAAAATTCAGTACTTTCGGCTTTTTCAGCGCTAAAAAATCAGTACAATTCAGTACACTTTTGTTAGACAGAAAAATTATACATTTCACTGCTAGTTGTACTAAACACACATTAAAACAAAAACAAAAATCACATTTATTTTTACATATGTAGGTACATATGTTTGTGTATGTGTTTTTTTTAATATTTGCAATGTTTTTCGTAATAATTTGTTTCCTTAATTTTTAATAGAAATATAGTTCATTCTGCATCAAATGGCAAATAAATTAATAATTCAAAGTTTTACAAAATCTAGAAAAATTCGAAAAATTTTCACCAAAATTTTCAACTTTCAACAAGTTTTGTAGTTCACTCAATAAAGTGCAAGTTTCTAGTGGCTATAAACTACCGTTGATTTTTGAGAATTTTATTACTGACGTTCTGCGGCATTTTTTCCCATACAAAAAAAAAACTATCAAGCATTCGTTATATGTATAGAGAAAATGAGCAACATCATCAGCAAAAAAACTTCTCAAAAATCAACGATATTTATAACCGCTTAAAACTTGCATTTTACCATACCATACCATACGGAATTGAGTGAACTACAAAACTGCATACTCAAAAAAAAGTTGAAAATTTTGGAGAAAATTTTTCGAATTCAATGTAGAATGACCCTTATTATGAGTTGCATTCGATTTTCGATTTTAGCTGGTTTTCGAAGATCGAACATCGAAAGTGAAGTTATGAGCTATGCAACCGTGTCGAAATTTTCGTTGCGTATCGAATATTTTGTCGAACAGAATTTTGCTTTCGATGGTGTAGCGAAATGTTAGAAAATTGTAAAAAATGTATGATTTTGCATTTGTTTTCTTACTTTTTGGCAACTAGACACAAATTTTAAAATTTTTTATTAATTTCATGCAGTTCTAACGTCGTGAATACTAAACACAAGCTCGAAAGGCTGGTTTTACTTGTGAAAGAACAGCTCAATACTCAGTTGGCACGATCTCTGAGAACAAAATAGTATAGCAGTTGATAGTTTTAAAATATTTTAAATAGACAGTCGGAAGTTTATAATAAATCTGTAGACAAATTTATTAAA